TACTGGCCAAGCGAATCATCAAATAATACGTTATTTAAATGCATGTCTACAAAGGGAAGCGTGCTTCAATAGGGATTACCGTTGGTAGGGCTATTTGCATAAACACAATAGACAGGAAAGACAAGTTCAAAGGGCTCGCATAATGCACATGCATAATGTACGTTGCCTCTGTAACCCCCCCCCCCCCCCATCATTGTGCAAGAGCGCAGAAGGATGGCCAACACATCTACACCTCTATATAAGGAATGAAACAGTAAGACTTCTCCACAAATTTGGCTGTCGCCTGATGAAGCTAGTTGTAATTATTGGCGAAACGTCGTACTCAGTTTGTAAATGTTGTGGCTTGGTTCTCCAACACACCGGTGTGCTGTACTAGTGACGAATTTGCACGTTCTGTTTACGTGACAACCCTTACTAGTTGGCTGTGTCGGGTGGTGGCGGGTTTTAACAACACATTTATATATTTACCCGATCTAACCCAAAAAACGCTATTATAGATATTGGTCGCGAAAGCCTACGTGTTAAAGTGATATACGCTATTCATAGTAATATAAGATTGTTACATTTTTTTATCGATTACAATGCAGATCTCAATTTGATTTAAGTGAAGCAATAAGAGACTGGGATATACAGTAGCTGCAGGACACAGTGGTCACGCTCACACAAAATTCCGCGTTCACTTTATGACTGGCGCCCAACGTAGATTATCGCTGCTGCATCTCTGACCTTGGAGTTGTACTCGCATCGAGCTGGATGTAGTAGCCTCGGGCCAGGAATGCGTTCGTCGCTCGTTGCAGAGGTTTGCCGGTTCGAATCCGGTTGGCCGCACTGATTATTACTGTAGGTTTGTATTAACCACGGAAGTGTCCCGTCGCGTAATTTGAAAAGAGCAGGCCGTTATGTTGCCAGCATTACGGTCTAGAAGTTGTTAAAATTAGAAAAAATACCTTCCAATTAATAAATTGGGATCAACGTTCATAATAGAGGTTTTTAGGTTCGATTGTGTAAATATAAATGTGTTGTTGAACCCTGGCTGTTGCCTGATGAGGTTGGTTGTAATTACCGGCGACACGTTGTACTCGAATTGTAAATGTTGTGGGTTTACTCTCCAACACACCGGTGTGCTGAACTTGTAACTAATTGCAATGTTTTGTTTACGTTACAAACCTTATTAATTGGCTGTGTCGGGTGGTGGCGGGTTTAAACGACACACCAGACGCGAACCTCCTTATCTTACAAGATCTAACTCAAAAGCCTCTATGTGTATTTTTCGATTTAAAACTTTCGTGACTGCAGGGATTCATATTTTTGGTTCTTTCGGTAAATCACGTAGAAGGGAAATAATAAAATAAAAAAAATAAAACAATAAAATTCTCACGACGTTTCGATTGCAACACAAGCAATCATCATCAGGTGTGAAAACCACAGCAAGAAAAAAAAAACGTCGTGAGAATTTAATTGTTTTCTTTTTATTATTTTATTATTTCCCTTCTACATGAATTTACTCTATGTATATTGGTTGTGAAAGCCTACGTGTTAAACTGGGATCATCATCACCCCCTACTGTGGAACTATTGCAGACTACAGTGAGGGAAAAAAGTATTTGATCCCCTGCTGATTTTGTATGTTAGCCCACTGACAAAAAAATTATCAGTCTATAATTTTAATGGTAGGTTTATTTGAACAGTGAGAGACCCAGAAAAACGCATGTCAAAAATGTTAAATTGATTTGTATTTTAATGAGGGAAATAAGTATTTAACCCCCTCTCAATCAGAAAGATTTCTGGCTCCCAGGTGTCTTTTATACAGGTAACGAGCTGAGATTAGGAGCACACTCTTCAAGGGAGTGCTCCTAATCTCAGCTTGTTACCTGTATAAAAGACACCTGTTCACAGAAGCAATCAATCAATCAATCAGATTCCAAACTCTCCACCATGGCCAAGACCAAAGAGCTCTCCAAGGATGTCAGGGACAAGATTGTAGACCTACACAAGGCTGGAATGGGCTACAAGACCATCGCCAAGCAGCTTGGTGAGAAGGTGACAACAGTTGGTGCGATTATTCACAAATGGAAGAAACACAAAAGAACTGTCAATCTCCCTCGGCCTGGGGCTCCATGCAAGATCTCACCTCGTGGAGTTGCAATGATCATGAGAATGGTGAGGAATCAGCCCAGAACTACACGGGAGGATCTGGTCAATAATCTCAAGGCAGCTGGGACCATAGTCACCCAGAAAACGGTAACACACTGCGCCGTGAAGGACTGAAATCCTGCAGCGCCCTCAAGGTCCCCCTGCTCAAGAAAGCACATATACATGCCCGTCTTAAGTTTGCCAATGAACATCTGAATGATTCAGAGGACAACTGGGTGAAAGTGTTGTGGTCAGATGAGACCAAAATGGAGCTCTTTGGCATCAACTCAACTCGCCGTGTTTGGAGGAGGAGGAATGCTGCCTATGACCCCAAGAACACCATCCCCACCGTCAAACATGGAGGTGGAAACATTATGCTTTAGGGGTGTTTTTCTGCTAAGGAGACAGGACAACTTCACCGCATCAAAGGGACGATGGACGGGGCCATGTACCGTCAAATCTTGGGTGAGAACCTCCATTCCTCAGCCAGGGCATTGAAAATGGGCCTTGGATGGGTATTCCAGCATGACAATGACCCAAAACACACGGCCAAGGCAACAAAGGAGTGGCTCAAGAAGAAGAACATTAAGGTCCTGCAGTGGCCTACCCAGTCTCCAGACCTTAAGCCCATACAAAATCTATGGAGGGAGCTGAAGGTTCGAGTTGCCAAACGTTAGCCTCGAAACCTTAATGACTTGGAAAAGATCTGCAAAGAGGAGTGGCACAAAATCCCTCCTGAGATGTGTGCAAACCTGGTGGTCAACTAGAAGAAAAGTCTGACCTCTGTGATTGCCAACAAGGGTTTTGCCACCAAGTACTAAGTCATGTTTTGCAGAGGGATCAAATACTTATTTTCTTCATTAAATAGAAAATCAATTTATAACATTTTTGACATGCGTTTTTCTGGATTTTGTTGTTGTTATTCTGTCTCTCACTGTTCAAATAAACCTACCATTAAAATTATAGACTGATCATTTCTTTGTCAGTGGGCAAACGTACAAAATCAGTAAGGGATCAAAACTTTTTTCCCTCACTGTATGTCTAAGAACGGCGCAAAGACGAAATGTTTCATAACTACGATCCAATACTTTGGAGGCAAAGGTTGGATAAACATCAACACAGAAGAACTGCGTGGAGACCAGGAGATGGTAATCCAGCACAAAACAGGACTGTGAGCCCATCTGTGCAGACCTTTGAGCGTGATCGCCTTGATTGTGTGACCTTCTCTGGGCACTCCGATTTCCTGTAGGATGCAATAACATTCATATACAAGGAATTGGGAGAAAAATCCCATTCACGTTTTGAGACTGCATTGAACAAAATTATTTCCTGGATATATAAATGACGTTATTATTTGCGTGCACATGTGGTAGCTTAGCGGCTTGGGCTAACTTCCATTTAAGAGTAATGAGCGAGCAAATCTGAAAACTCGAGTTCAAGACTGGGTGGAAAGGATTTTCATCATATCGAACAAGTTAATTTTATATTGGGGGGTTAAACAATTCACCCCCAATATTTAAAAAAAATTTCTGCTTTAAAATCGATCAAATTCATTGATGTATTGTTCAACTCCTATCAGTCCGTTGGCTCGCACCCCATCATACAATCAGATATGATTTATCCACTGGTGGATGAAGGCTTCCCCAAGTCGTCGCTGACTCACGATGCACACACCATCCATCTAGCTTCTGCATGCTAAGCTGATCTGATCGCTCCGTCTCAGTAGTAGTCATACTGAAGGGCATGTTCTCTCAATTGGCTGCCACAACATCATCAGTTTTTACCATTGGCCAACATCCCTTCGAGTGATGTGTCCACGCTTACTGGCATTCGTTCTCTGATCCATGCCTTCCAATTTTTGGTTCTCTCTGTAATTGCACGCTTCTTTGATAAAGTGCATCAATTATTAAAGAATTATAATTGCACAGCGGTTGAGGCAAGGTCAATTAGACAATGCAAACACACACTTTATGGCATTGGTAGCTTGCATCGTATGTGAGACAGTGCCAGGTGATTATTTGGATCTTAGGTGTGTTTCAAATATTTATGTTATGCACTGTTGACGGGCACTCAAGGTTTTCAGTGAGAAAAAAACCCCTAAGCGTTTAGGAATATGTTGCCAATGTTCTAAACACACTCGAAACTGCTAATAACCATTCTTAATTAATGATATATGTACGGACATACTCTTGCAACATTGCATGGCTTGTGGGAGTTTGACAGTCTCTGCTAAGTGATGAATGACAACACAAACCCCTTCACCGTGTCATACACAATACAGGAATACAATTGGCATTTGCACTTCATATGAGCTATACCAGACACCTGAAGTTGGATGTGGTGGCATGAGACCCAGCCAGACACAGATCTTCCAGAACATTCCAACCGACATCCAGGTGCGGGCTAAAGGGGAATCTCAATGTTCAAGCAGAGTATTGAGAGATGCAAAGAGGCATCCTATGTCAGTCTCGATCACCAAAAGGTGATGTCAAACCTACCGGGGAGAGTTTTCCAGTGAGAGACGGAAAACTGGTTCTGTGGCTCAAACGAGAAAATAAAAAGTTGACAATTTTGTGGACATTTGTCCCCACGAAAAGGAGACTGAAAAAACTTGGGTTGCCACCTGTCCTGGTTTTCTGTGGCTCGTCTTCTTGTTGAAGAAGTTTTCCTGGGGATCTGTAAGTTCTCCCTGGGACATTAAGAGTCCTCTTTTTGTCATTTGCGTAGTAATAATAATACGTCGCTTTAAACCCCTATATTGATATGTAGTTCTCCCCTCTTGAGATGTGTTTTTCTACCCACAATGTCCTGGGAATTTGTTTGTACCTCAGAGGTGGCAGCCCTACAAAAACATGTCTCATCACCATCTTTGAGTTAATGTAATTTTATTATTAAAACTGGAGTTCCATCGTTGAGAAACTTTCTTTAAATATTAACTTTTAAGACCACGGCCGTATATTCAAACACGAGAAAGCACCATCGGTAGCTACATGTGAAGCCCACAAACAGAACATTTGAAACGTGCAGCCAAGTTACCAATGAACCTTTCAAAATCTTCGTACCATCCGTGGTAACGGCATAAACATTTCATAAATATAAACTTTCGTTTCACGTTGTGCCATTTGGTACTATTTTGAAAATATTAACTGCTGACATGTAAATTATGCATCGAGGATATCTTAAACGTTCAGCTTTAATCGTACGTTTAGCCACACCGTTAATGCTCACTTTATATTCCGGGAGCCACTCCACCCCCCACATTACGAAAATGTTCGAATTAAATGTAATTACTTCTCTCAAAATTCTACAACAGCACATTCTCAGTATTATCTTTGTGGGGAAATTTTGTCTCGTGAAGGTTTGACAACCGCAATTTCACAGAATCTGCACGTGGCATGTTAATGAGTCACGAGGCTGTACGACCGCCGGAATTCACAACTGTCATGAAACCTCACGTTTGTTTTGTTCTTTGTAGAAGAGTAATACAAGCACTCAGCAACGTGTTGGTGACTCCCACTTCTCTCCATATTGCTCAACGTATTGGTTACACAGGTCCAGGTTTATAATGGGGGGGGTCGATGGACTCCAATTTTATGGCCGCTAACTTATTGGGAACGCCAGCCATGTGTGGAACCCATGACACGGCAACACACTGGGGCAGTTCCGTGTAGAATGTGCAGAAGGAATTGGCCCTCCAAGTGGTGTGTTGGGTGTGAGTGAGGTCTTGGAAAGACAATGTCAGGGGCACCAATGGCCGTGTGGCACCACGGCTGAGCGTCCAAAAGCTCGAAATCGCTCGGCTCATTCGAGCGTGGACACACTGTGGACTCTTGATTTCTATTGGCCATGTCGTCAAAAACAATGCGGACCTATTAACCCAATGGGGGGCGGTGGGGGCTTCTCGTGGAGTTTTCACATGACAACATTGCGCTTTTCGTACGCCCAGGCGTTTACGCCTGCGACACGCAGGGCCCACAGAAACACCGCGTCACAATGCCTCAGTGTTGTACTCTATAGCACTTTATGACTGTGTGGGGGAAAATCTGCTGTCCAATTATGTAAAGAAAATCCGGGTGAAATGTATGTTTCACTTACTTCGTAAGCAACACCTCTGCGGTTAATGCAATTTAGTTGCCTTTGCATTAGGATTGATTGAGGCTAAAATAATAAATCAGTAATTTTGTTTAAGCATTATTGCTTTCAATGGCCTGTTTTCAAGTCGTGTTAAGTGCCGCTTTGCCACTCATTGGTCTGATAATTTCATAACTTAATTGGATATTGAGACACTGCAATTGCCTGCTTGCCTAATCCGGATGCTTAATATCCCAGGAGAGTAATAAGGCTGTGTGATAATTTGCTGCAGTGATATGATATTTGTAATATCCTGTTTGTTGTACTGGGGCTTGTTTTATTCTTGTTATCTGGAAAGTGCATGTCCACACACGACTACCGCATTATACAAAGCTGACCAGTAATTGCATTGCTCTAATTCTACACATTTCCCACATTATAGGGCGTGTCATTAAGCACAATCCCATAAATGTTTTTAACTTTAGACAAATTGAAATCCAATGAAAATGTTCCAGCATTACATTATAAACTGAGGCGAAGGCTCTTTTGCACAGAAGTATAACAACAAATATTGTTATGTAAACGATGTTGCAATGTAGCAGAGTAATGGGTCACACCTCCTTTAATTTCAATTCTGTGGGTGGCTCTTACACATTTAGTCTCTTTTCAGACAATTATTATCACAATTCTTTTTTGTTATCCAGTCACTTTACATTACACAGTTCAACCAGCACATCCACTCACAAAAATGATCACCAATGGGCAGTGTTCCCCTTCCACACCCGCGTTAGATACCCGCTGACACAAGAGTGCACAACAAATCACAGCCAAAAACGATCCGCTCATGGCAAAAGGAACCAGAGGCTAGAAACACGGAATAACGGCTGCAAAACTTTATTCCTGGCCCAACTACAGGATCGAGTGGCGAGTGGGGTCAAAGGGTACCGTGGCCTGTGCCAACTGGCTCAAACTCACAACGGAGAAACGTGACTCGACCATCCCCCCCCCCCCCCATGGACGAGCTTTCAAAGTTAAACTCCGTTGTTGACAAAAGTAACGAGGGTTTAAGCTGGCTTCTCACACCAATAATTGCCGACATAAACTATCAGATTGCCTTCTGAATTGTCTGCTCGAAGGTAAACCAGTCGGTGGCTATAAATAAACGGGCTGAAACGACGGGAGGTGATGGACCCACCTTAAGAGATCCTGTGCTTCACAATACAAAGTCTCAGACGGCTGTTGTGGTGGTGTGCACTGATAAGCTACACACACACACACAAATACGGTAACGGGAAGGCACCATCTCGCAAAGGGGTTGTTTTCAGTCCAGAGATGTCAAAATAAATAAATGCTCATCGCTTCACTACCGGCAGTCAGAATTAATCGTTCATCAATGGACGTAGCCCTGATGACACATTGTTGCACGAACATTACAAGTATATAAGAAATATCCTGTACTGTGAATCATACCAGCACATAAGAGTACTTGAATCTACCTACATTGATAGCACCTCTGCTCTCCTAGATGAGAGGAACTACTCAACAAGTCTGCTGCAATCTGTGCAGCACGCCACACTATTGTTGGGTAACAATTGCGGCAATTACCCTTCTGACTCCTGCAAAATTTTTCCCGGTCATTTGTAATGTAATTTCACTGGGCCAAACACATTTATCAGCTGTGCAATGTGAAGTCAGTAAGCTGGAAATAGGGGACCATATCTGCCCTTGACGCTCTCGCCGTCACATCAAGGTAGGATTTAGTTTTAGTAGTCATCAGCAGAACCGAGTTGGAACTAAAGTAGCTGAAGCCAGATTTATATTCAGTTTCAGTCTCGGTTTCAGTTCGTGTTATTGTCCTGTGGGGTGCTGACCTTCGTCATGGAAATGTGGAATTTCCATCCCTGGCTTGGGACCACTCGTGGGACACCAGGGCTGCCAGATTGCACATTTGAACGGGGAGATGTTAACTTTAGACCTTTTTATTTTGAAAGCCAATTAATTTTTTAAAATCATTTTTATCCTGTTTATAAAAAAAATCTGATGAATTTCTCAAAGTGAGAAAGAGTTTCTTTTGTAATAACTGTAGCCCAGTGTATCGTGTCAGGTAAGATTGTATTGATTTTAGCACAGTCTAACTGAATCAATATCATGATAAATGCCTATCATTATAGTCAATGATTTGTCGTATGCATTTCCTGTCTCTGAGTAAATACATCTTCACACAACTCTGGTTTGGAGCTCTTTGTATAATTATAATGGCCGCCAACTTATTAGTATTACCATGCTTACTACGACAAACACAGCAATGTTGCTTCTACCAATTTTACTCGTCTACACATCCGAAATGCTCATCACAGCCTTTTCAGGATTTTAACGTGCCCTAGAATTAAACCATTTTATATCACTGTCAATTGTTTATGTTTAGAATGTTCAACCAGTGTGTTCGAGAGTAAATACACAAAATGTACAATCTGAGTACAACACACCGGTGTGCTGTACTAGTAACCAATTGGCATGTTCTGTTTATGTGACAAACCTTACTAATTTGCTGGATCGGGTGGTGGCGGGTTTAACGACACATTTATATTTATGCGATCTAACCCCAAAACACCTATATTAGGGATGATATTGGTCGCGAAAGCCTACGTGTCAAACTGTCTTAATAAGTGCGAATTAAAAAGCCGACAATTTACCTTTGCTGTTTTAAAGTGGACAGACACTCTACTCACCACCGCTGTCTGCTCCGAATAGCCATTGCCTGAACCGTTATCCTCCGACCCTTATAAACATAATTTTCAGTGTTAGAACGGTTCTCGACAAACCCATGTATTACACACTCTCGTCACTAATGCTTGTACTGCCTTAAAACATTAAACATTCATCCTACGTTAGTGTTTTTGCAGTGGCCCATCTGCACAGCAGAAGAGGTCACCGTATGTAGCCAACCCTGCTAATCGAAGATTAGAGGGAAGGACAATAAACTAAACACAAAAAGCAGTTCTAAAGAAATTAGTTTTCAATCGAGATTCAAAAGTGCATAACTCCAGTGGCTTCCTAATATCGGAAGAGTGTTCCAGACGGCTGCATAAGCGCATCTCAAAGCGCGCAATGCGGTGACCGTCCTTGTTTGATAGCAAGCCAAAAGCCGCTGCTGCGAGGATGACCGGAGTTCTCATGATGGTTTATGTTTCTTGACGAGATCAGCAAGGTATTGTGGTTCATCTGTGGCAAGCGCTTTGTGTGTAATGACTACAACCTTATGGCTGTAGATTTTCACTTTGGCCTTTGCCTGGCTATGATATAAAATGTATTTTGCATGACTTTGTCCAACCACTCTTTACACAATACGAAGGAGTGCCATCTATAGATAAGGATTTTCATTTATAGGATGTTTACATTAAGATAATTTTGAACATGATGCCGGCACACACAGCCTGATCTTTTGCGAATAACATCACGGGATCTCTACAGTCCACTACCAAATGGATGGCGCATATACATTGGTTATTCAACAGGCAGTAGTAACCGGGGTGGCCACTGGGCTCGAACCGCAAACCTCTGCAAACTTGCTTATGCTTGCTTAAACTAAAGTGACTTGAGCAGTGTTCCCGTGGTGTCATTGCCCGGGGGCAATGCACTGACGGAGTGCGCTGTGATGAGCAGTTCTGCAGGGATGTTTCTTCACCTCTTGTGTTCATATTCCGTTTGGGGCTAAGGTTGGTGATAAAAAACGAACATTGTGAAACTTTGCACGTTCAAAATAGCCACCAAAATTTCATCATTAGAATGTTTAATTTAATGAAGCCATTGCAACAATGTAATGTTCACTTTGTACGATGGAGACTTTTTTTTTTACTTTAACAACGAGACAAGTGCACGATTACATCCTCAATCGTTTTACGCCAAGCCAAGCAAGCCGTCATCGCCAGGCATTGTTGATTCAAATAACAATTCCCACCGTTACTCAACGAAGAATCATCAAGTTCCATTTAATGAAATTCTCCTTCAAAGTTGCTTATCTTGCAACAGTGACATCGCGTTCCTTCAGCATAAGGATCAATTTGATCTGCATCACCAACCGCATCAAGTCGTTTCTGTGCATCATCTGACCGAGCGGTGCTGATGGCAAAGTGCTTGGCTCGCAATCGGAAGTCTGCGTGTTTGAATACCAGTCCGGGGGTTGACACCTTTCATCCTTTCAAGGTCGCCAAAATTAGTACCACTTTGTGGGATGTGAACAGCGACCCTTCCACACATGGAGACAGACTGACCCCCCCTCCCCCCCACCATAGGAACGTGGAATTTCCACTTTCGTTTCCGGACCATCAAAATAGTTGAACGCCGTTCACAATGCCTGTCAGAACGTGGGGCCCACCTCCAACTTTGATTGTTGACTGCGCTCTGCAAACGCGACAATCGTGACCGTACGTAGAGTTCGCTCCAATTAGCTCGGCGCACTTAGGGGGGCGCAGCGCGTCCGTGGCTAAAGCATCTCCAGGTTGTTGTGATGCTCCGCTCCGGCCGGCTGCTCGCGGGGGTGCAGGGGCATAAAAGGTGGCAGCGCGGCACCCTTGTCGACGTCGTCACCGCCGCCGCCACCGGGGAAATCGGGGTGGCGCGGCGTGGCCTGCGGGAGGCAGGAGAGCGCAAGCGGACTCGAGCGGCCCCCGTCCGCCGCTCGCCCTACGCCCCCCGGCACCCAGGGCTCGGCTGGCTTGCAGCGCAGGTGCGGTGGGGGGGCGGGCACAGGGGGCCGAGGCCGCGGCGGCGGCGTGGGGGTCCGGCGGCCTTCGGTGGTGCAGGGGAGCTGCACGCGGCTCACGAGGAGTTCGACGGAGTCGCGCGACTCTGACACGAGCGGCACGAGCGAGCCGCAGCCCGCCTCACCCAGCTGCACGCCGTTCACCTGCAGCCACCATGGCAGAGAGGGGACGTGCGCAAGTTTCTCAGGCTTGCATTCGTAGCCGTGGCTCTGCTCAGGGTCTGGCTCGAGCGAGCCGGCTCTCAGCATTGGTCTTGGTCATGCTCAGAATTCCTATGAGGCTGAGCCTGAGCCAAGCCTTGGCCGAGCGCATCTTTGGAAGTGACCGAGCGGCTCAAGCTTGAGCTGAGCCGCGTTAGACGTCCAGCCAAAACCGAGCCACGACTCAGAACAGTGTGGGTTACACAACTCAAAGGCAAGCACACGTGTGTGTGTGTCAGTGTGTGTTTGTGAGGAGCATTAGTGTCGCGGTTAGCGCGCTGCACTACGAACCTGGCGACCCGGGTTTGATTCCCACTCACGGCCAACACCAGTGACAATTATCTGAACTGGTCCTGGGCCTCCCTTAGGTCGACTGAGCCTCAAATGAGTACCTGGTGCGATGTGTAAACATCGCCACTTGGGAGACAAAGGCGGCCGGGCGTGGTGTAGGCCACCCACCCCATCGTGTGCCGTGCCGGCCTTCATAGGTGCTCGCTAACAGCACTTGCTCAACAGTCTGTTAAGGCTATACAGGGGATCTTTGTCTTTGTTTGAGTGTGCGCACTACGCTTCCAACCTTGCGATCCAAGTTCATATTCTAGGCCATGGCTCACATCATTGGTGTATAACTGTACCGGTTCTGAACCTCTCTTAGGTCACCTCAGCCTTAAATAAGTATCTGGTGCAAATGTGTAATAATCTGTATAGCACTGCGTAAGTTTTTGTGGTCGTGTTGTATAGCTCTACTGTGTTTCGGTACTCTGAATGAGCTGCCAAGTGCGTGTAGCGAAACACCGGATGTCATGGCGAACAACACTCGGTAATAACTTACAATGATGTTGTCCGTGGCCAGGGGTGGAACCAAAGTCGTTAGGGTCATGGGGAAAATACGCTCACCACCACACCGCTGCTTTCCCACCTATAACACTGTGTAACAATTTTTTTTTGTTCCTGGGTAGTAAGTGTTATTTCCGAATTTATTATGCCTCAAACGTGCAGAGAATGGCTATTATTCCCCACAAACTTTGCTTTTGTGGCCAGGACAGTGATATTTTGAAATTTACCTATTTTCCAGAACATTCCAGATAGATGCAGTGCTGAGTAAACTTGTAGTAACCTTTCTAGAACATTCTAGAACTTTCCAGTAATATAAAGAGTAGTATAAATACAGGGGCCTTAAGCCCACCAGTTCAGTTTAGTTCCAGCTGCCTAAGTGGATACATATATGCATTTTTCTGATATGGAATCAAGAGGCTGCAAGCATCTGGCAGACGCATTTTGCTATGTCTGCGGCCAATTTATCAAGACAAGCGTGAAAAAGTACTCTGTGGAAGCATCTGCTAAGATGTGTGAGGCCTACAGGGCATATTTGGGCATGCCTGTCAGGGATCAAGACAAACCCTCGGCATCTCATTTCACCTGCGAGGAATGCAACAAAACTCTGGAAGGTAAGATAGACAATTTTTGCTCGAAATGTTGTTATAAAATTTGTTACAATTTAAAAAAATTTCAAAGTTTTTTATTTTAAAATGTTTTACAATTTTCAATATTATTTTAAAAATATATCATACATGAAAAATGTTGCGAGAATCTCTTACACATTAGTCATGGGTGAAATAAATGTATTTTTGTAACCCCAACCAAAAATACCTCAACGACTTGATCAGAGATCTTGGTCTCACCAAGTCCAATGCCGAGCTTTTCACGTCTAGGCTCAAGCAGTGGAACTTGTTGGATAAAAGTGTGCAAGTCACAGATCAAAGGAAGCGTCAACAACCTTTTTGCAAATTCTTCACCCGTCAAGATTGGCTCTGCTTCTGCCACAATGTTCGAGGCAATCGGAATCGCCTGTAACCAGAATGAGTGGTGCCTCTTCATTGACAGCTCATCCATAAGCGTCAAAAGCCGTGCTGCTCCATAATGGTAACAAGTACCCATCTCTTCCCCTAGCTCACTCGGTGCACATCAAAGAGGATTACGACAGCATCAAGACCTTGCTGGACGCCTTGAAGTATGATGAGTATGGCTGGGAGGTCATCGGAGACTTCCAAATGGTGGCATTCCTGATGGGTCTCCAAGGCGGTTTTACAAAGTTTCCCTGCTATCTTTGCCTTTGGGACAGCAGGGACACCAAGGCACACTACCACAGGCGGGACTGGCCACAGCTGACCGAGTTCTCTGTGGGGAGGAACAACGTCAAGTGGGAGCCACTGGTGGACCCCCGGAAGGTGCTGATGCCACCACTCCACATCAAATTGGGCCTTATGAAAGAATTTGTCAGAGCTATAGATAAGGAGTCAGCATCCTTCAAGTACCTTCAAGACTTCTTCCCTAAGCTGTCTGAGGCAAAGGTCAAAGCCGGTGTCTTCATCGGACCACAGATGAAGAAGATCCTGGAATGCGATGAATTCCCTAAGAAGCTCACTTTTAAGGAGAACGCGGCTTGGAACAGCTTTGTCGCAGTGGTTCGTGGCTTCCTGGGCAATCACAAGGACGAAAACTATGTAGAGCTGGTTGAGACTCTGGTGAAGAACTACCGCACAATGGGCTGGAGGATGTCCCTCAAAGTCCATATCCTTGACGCTCATCTTTATGAATTCAAGGAGAACATGGGAGCGTACTCGGAGGAGCAAGACCAGCGCTTCCACCAGGATATACTGGACTTTAAACGCCGCTACCAAGGACAGTATAACGAGAACATGATGGGAGACTACATTTGGGGGCTGATTCGTGATATTTATTTACAGTATAATCGTAAATCTCAAAAAGATACTCACTTCTAAATCTTTTGTCGTAATTTTTGTATTACTTTAGTATAAATACATGTTAAATTTGATTCATATGTTGTTTTCTGACTTTATGTGAACGAAAAGACACAAATTCGCCCGTTTTCTCATTGAAAATAGGTAAATTTCAAAATATCACTGTCCTGGTCACAAAAACAAAGTTCGTGAGAAATAATAGCCATTTTCTATACTTTTTAGGCATAAACAATTACGAAATAACACTTACTACCCAGGAACAAAATTTGTGTGACATAGTGTAATCTTAACAGACTGTTGAAGTCCTGTTAGCGAGCACCTATCAGGGCTGGCACAGCACACAAGGAGGTGAGGTGGGTCGCCATCACCACGCACGGCCGCCTTTGTCTCCTCAGTGGAAATGTTTACACATCGCACCAATAACTAATTTGGGGCTGAGTCGACCTAGGGGAGGACCAGGACCGGTTCAGATAGCCATCACTGGTGTTGGCCGTGATGCGGGAATCCAACTCGGGCTGACGGATTCTGAGCGCAGCGCGCCGACCGCTATACTACCGCTCCCCCCACACACACATAGACGTGTGCCAAAAATGTAACGGATGATGTGTTTTTCAGAAGGAATGGCACACGAGCGCAGAGTTTGTAAACACTCGGCTGCAGCAGGAATATATCATGCAGAAATAGCGTACGGTGGCTGTAAAAATGCACGTGGATTATTTACTGTTGATCCCTTCCACAACAGCACGTGACCTCGTTCTGCCACATGCACTTCAGCATAAATGAGATGCTGCGTCTGAGGTGCGCATCCTCGTGAAATATGTTAACATATATACGGACAGATGGACACGTATAGATAGCCTGATTGATGTGCAGATGCATGGACGCGTGGATGGACAATACATTTTGTTTATACGCTTGCAGGCTGCGGGGTTGATTAATGTGGGAGATTCAAAAAGAGAAATGGTACGGCTCGAGGGTGTGTGTGTGATAGGGGCTTTACAAACACCTTGCTCAGTAAAGGCACGGTGCTTATATGAACAATAAATATCGCGGTAACATGAACAAAGAAAAAGATCCCCCGTATAGCCTTAACAGACTGTTGGGGTAAGTGCTGTTAGCGAGCACCTATGAAGGCCGACACGGCACACGAGGGGGTGGGTGGCCAATTCTACACCCGCCCATCTTTGTCTCCCAAGTGCTGATGTTTACAAACCGCACCAAGTACTCATCTAATGCTGAGTCGACCTAGGGGAGGCCCAAGACCGGTTAAGATATTCACCACTGCTATTGGTCGTGAGCAGGAATCGAACTCAGGTTGCCAGGTTCGTAGTTCAGCACGCTAACCGCTACACCACGGTTCCCCATGAACACACACACGCCCAAACGCACAATGCAGTACAGACCAAGTACACGCGAACATTCATGCAACGGATAAACATGATGAAAAAAAATAACAACAGACTTTACCCTCTCCGACAAGAATACAGGAGGTGTTACGATGTCAAAACACCAAATAGACACCAATCACAAGACACCACGTCTGCATTAACCACACACGTGCTTGTGGGAAAACATGCAAACAAACACGGCTTTGATAACAATTAATATTTGAATTATTAATCTTAAGAAGTAAAATATTATTTAATTATTAATTATTATAATTATTATTATCAACTAATTATTATCATACATTATGCTGTATGCAATGTCCTTGAGACGACCTCCTTCATGGTTCTTGTCTCTCCAGTGTTAACGCCTTTTTTTTATCAGTATCATGATACCGGCAAAAAAGGGTCCCGTAGATAGAGGATAAACATACGGTATGCAACACAACATTATAAATTAGTTTCTTGTAAATAAACACTGTGAAATGTACTTTATATAATAGCCCTTGATTCAAGAAAGCCTCAGCGAGTCCCAACACTCGTTCAAGATCCCGCAAGTGAAGATGTCTATCTGATTCTTTATTTAATGTTTTTTGTTGTTGAAATGAAAGAAAATAATAAATAGATTGTTTTGTACAACGATACCAGAAGACTACATGTGAACTATTGCTTTAGAGTGTTGTACAATCATCATTACTTTTACGGAACTGAAACAAACTGGAGTTTGTATGTGCTAACGACATCGCCTGGTATGCAGGAAGTGTGGGTTCGATCCCGACCCTGACGCCTGCTGTAT